CCCCCCCCCTTCTCTTCCCCCCTACGAGCCTGCCACGACCACGGCGTGTCACGGGAGGTGATGCCCAATGTAAGCAAAGTCGGGCGGAGGCTGCCGGCCGCGAGGCCGGCGGCAACGGTCCTGTGTGTTACTGGCCGCCTGGGACGCGGCGTGTCGAGCGCTGCCGTGGGCGGCGCACCCAACGGTCAAAGCTCGGGTGCACGCGTGTTTTGGAGGGGTTTTGTAAGAGGGCCGCCGCTGCACTGAAAGCTCGGGGTGACACGCGAGCGAAGGAGTGTCCCGGTCCCACACGACACGGCATTGCCTTGACCAGGGGTATGGGCATCGCAGTTGGGCAAAGGAAGCCGGGCACCAAAGCTGCAAGGGGTCTCAACACACGCCCACACAATAGAATGATGTGACTATGTTTGCTGGCGAACAAAACAACAAAACCCCTGGTGTGTATCGGCTTTGGTTGCGGAGGGCGTGCCGCCAGTAGGAGAGGCGTGCGCCGTGCCGCGCGACATGCCAAGCCGCAGCAGCAAAAGGCGGTTGGCATGTAGGAGGGGCGGCCCTGGGGAGCGGCAGAGGCCCTTGTAATCAAGGCGCAAAAAAAATTCACAAGCACGTCGTCGGTGGTGCGGCCTGGGGCTTGCAGGCGGCACATTGTGATGCGCCAGCCAGACGGCGCCCAGGCCTGGTGGAGTGTATGATATATATAGGTAACAGGAAAAGTCGTTGGCAGGGGCGCCCCTGCAGACATTCTTGCTGCGCCCGCCCAGCCTGCGGCGCCGCCTCAACTGGATCGCGGGCCTGGTGCGGCTGGTGCAGGCCCACGCGTGGGCGCGCCCCTGCTCCCTCAGACGCCGGGCCGTCGTGCTGCGGCTCGTGACGCCCCCGCAGGCCCAATGGGCAGCCGCATCAAACAGGGCCCTCCGACCGCGGCCGCCCCCCCCCGCCCAAGGCACCTGCGCCGCGTCCCCTGCTTCCCCGCGCGTTTGAAGCGGGCCGGCTGCTCGACCAGGACGCACTTCACGCAGGGAAGAGGGGGCGAACCAGGTGGGGGGGAGGGCGTGCGCTTTGTGCGCCGCTCAGATGTCGAAGCCCACGGCGGTCACGTACTCCTGTAGAGGGGTTTGAGGGAGGGGGCGCCACGCGCTGTCATGGCGGGATGGATGGTACGGTGGGGCGCAGGAACGGTCCAGGAGCGCGTTGCATAGGAACGGCGCACACGCACAAAGCGCACACGCAATCATGCTCACACACATTTTCGCACACTCGCAGACGCACATATATCCATCAATATGTGTGAGGATGTGTGATGAGTTGCTCATAACACACATATGTAGATACGTACACACACACGTACATGCACACGTGTATGGTTTGTATATTATTACGCACAACCACAAGGTATCCAACGCCAGCCACAACTGGCCCCGTCACCGCGCCCCCCCCCCCAAAGCCCCCACCTTGTAGATGTCGACGCCGCTGTGCGCCCCCAGCCCGATGGGCGCGCGCAGTATGTGGTCCGGCACGCCCCACGCGCTGACCAGCGGCAGCGCCACGCTGCGCAGCTGCGGGGGTGCGGGCAGCAGACGGCGTTGCGGGCGGATCGAGCGGGACGTGGTTGAGATGGAGAGGGCGCTGGGAGGGCTGCGCGCAGCATCGGGGCCGCACAACAGCAATCGCATGCTGCGCCGGCACCATCCCTGCGGCGGCGAACAATGGCCGAGCGGGCGCCTGCCCGACGCCTGGCGGAGGGGCCGGCGGGCCGGTGCGCCCGAAAAGGGGGTGGTCGTGCTGCGAGCGGCGCCGCGGCGTTATCGTCATTGCTGGTCGCCGCCGCCAAGCGCTCACCTCGCTGCAGAGCTCCCGCACCAGCTTCTGGATGGCCTTGGCCTTGGAGGGCGCCACGTACTCGTCGTTCCTTGGGCGGGCGGAAGTGGAAGGGTCGGTAGCGGTCGTGGGGGATGACGGGTTGGTGTCGGGCGCGGGGGGTAACGACTGAGCCGGAGGGCGCCGTGCGCGCGGCTCGGCGGCGGGTTACAGAGGACGTGCGCAGGGGGGTCTTGGCAGGGGCTTGGGCCGTGTCGTGGGAGTGGGGGGCAAAGGCGCAACGTTGCCTGCACGCTGACGCAGCGGGGGGCCCTCAAAGGCCGCCCCACCTGAACATGCTGTCTGTCTCGATGCAGCGCAGGGCAAAGAGGTCCGCCATCGCCTTGAGGGCCCTTTGGGGGTTGCAGGGGCGGCACAG